AGTTCTCCACTCTCTCTACTTCATTAGAATGAACGCTGGAAACAAGTCAAGCGGTGAAGAGAAAGCCACCAATCATGTATTGTAGAGAGGCTATGAAAATCATTTCTCGTGGCAACTGATTTCGTACTGCAGACAGTAGGACGCCTTTCCCCAATCCCTCCATTCTGAACGACCAAGCACTAAAGGTGACAGTTTGACAGCCTCACCGCAAAATAATTTGCTAATCATTTTGTGTAACACCTAACACTGGCCAAGAAGCAAAGAAGCAATTTTCAAGTTTAAAAAAAAGATACAGGAGGGGAACGTCTGAAAGAAGGCGAGGCAGGAGGGAAACATTTAAGTTTAGACCTTCCTTCCACTCATGTATCTTTCCTTCGACTTAAAAAGTGTCGTCTTTTTTTTTTCACGTACAATAAAGATTTCAATCAGATTTACAGGCAATTTTAAGAGTTAAGAAACGTAGGTATAGGGCAAATAGCTTTATGAACCGTATTATACAGTTTCGCACAAACGTTTTTGTTAACAAAGTGAGGAGCTCAAGTGCGTACCTAAAGGAGCGTTTTGTTTAGAAACGTTAGACCCTTCGCCATGCGGCAAAAGGCCGATTCACATACTTGTTTTTTAACTAATATACAGCTTTTTACAGGGAAGGCCAGGGCGGGCGTCATTACAGTTAATTCCCAGGTTCCCTAGGCATTCTTCGAACATAATGTTGTCCTTTAATGCGCCCTAGCTGCCTACAAACAAGGTTGATAATGATAGCGTCGAAAAGTAGGATTTATCTGCAAGAGCTGCTCGTATCTGACAGAGTTCCAGCAACTTATTCGTAAATATTTAGTTGACTATATTCATTGACAGGACTAAAATGACAGGCGAATCTTTCACTTGTCCCTCTTCTAACCGGAGCTACATTGCTCCGGTAACATCTGAGCGTTGCACGAGGTTGAAGTGCAGGAGGTTGATAGGCATTCAAAAGATGTATTGAAGTTCCAAACTTGTCGGGGAACTACACGGGTAAAAACTGAGGAAAGAAGAGCAAAACCAAGCTCTGGTTGGGGAAGGTCAATTCGCACTATACGAACGGTGAGCGGAGAAAAAGGCAGCTAGTTTCTGCGTCTACCCACTTTTCATTCCAACCGGAGCTCGGTGTTCTGCCATTCACGCGCGCTGCCATCCCCTCTCCCTCCGGTTCAACCCGTACATACACGCCGACGTTCGTTCCGCCAAGAGATGAGGTGGTCGGACTTCACGACACGTCTCATTTGACGACACCCAATATCAGGAAGCTGCGGGCTTCATTTTAATAAACTATTCTGGTGGTCGTAAAAGCAATAACGCGCTATATGCCCATAAAAGACGCTGAACAGCGTCATGCGGGGCTGCGCTGCCGTTAGGAATTTCTGAACTGCCAAGCTGTACAACAGAGACATTCATACACTAGAAAATATATTACCGGAATACTTTTTTTTGCTAAGTTTCGCGAGTTTTTTTTAAAGATACAAAAAGTGTTGACAGAAAAGCAGGTAGATATATAGGGACCTAGCACAACAAAAGTTTGGTTCTAGATGCGTATTTGGTCCGTTCAGGACATTCTATGTCTGGTTTTGCTACTCATGTGGTGCATCATTCTGCATTTGACCAATTGTCGGTTTTGATAGTTCCTCTGCCTGGTTCTTTTTCTTTTTACACAATTTGTACCCATTTTTTTTTTATTTCTCAAAACTGGACGACCAAGGTCATCTCTCCTGGCAGAAATATCATGTTCGTCCTTTTTTTCTAAGCAATAAAAACAAAACTCTACGATCGTGCTGTACGAGATATTTAATTTATTTTATTTTCTGCTGTGTCCTAAAGACATTCAGATTTTTCCTACTTCGCACATCGCAAGAATAAGAGCACCTCCCCAGTATGACTGCTTCCATCACGGACCCTAGCCTATTCTAAAATTATATGACTAATAAATTTAGCTATGATACATGGCCTGTTTGCTTGTTAGTTGGTGTTTATCTTATTAATATTGTTCATTTTTAGTTTTTTCTTGCTTTGTGTGTATCTGTTCTTTCCCTCTATAGTGCTTTAGACTTCTAAGGGTATATTTAATAGGTAAAAATGCTTCCTGGTCATGTACAAATTTTAAAATCAATTCCTTGAGAATGGGTCACAATGGGGCCTAAAGAGGGAAAAAACCAATCCTCTGTATTTGTTACTAAAAACGTATATTTTCTTACTCCTGCTTCCTCACGAGGAAAGTTAGCTCCTCCTGGAAGACAGATCGCTGGTTTCCGTAACTCCTTTATTTTTACAATAAAAACACAAACATATAAATACATAGGCTGAATTTACGTCGATCTGGCAGTAGCAGATTTGAGGGAAGGTACGAGGGTGTTGGGTCAAACTTGGTCTCTGTTTCGTGAAAAACAGTAATGAGCAAATTAGAAGACGTAAATAGGCAATTGACTCTCAAATGAGAAGACGTAATTAAGTAATTAACTAAATACTTTTTATTATTTGTATCAAATGATGGAAATTTACAATTCTCTTCAAAATAAAGATTTTGAACGAACTGTAATATAAAACATTTCGTACATCACTGAATTTAGGAAGGTTGATAGTAAAAAGTGCAGTACAGTCTTGCACACGTTACTAAATAAAGCAGTCGATAGAAATTAAATTTACAGTTGGTTAAGAAGCATCGAATGAGATTACCTAACATCTTAAGAAAAAAGCAATTGGCAGTTACTTGAAAAAGAAACCGTTACTTTTTATTACTCAAATTTGCTAAACATCAAACATTTATGCCAGTTTTAAAAAAGTGTTTTTTTCGTACTGCCTAATATTGAATTAATAGTTTAGTTTTTAGTTTTTAAGCCATTAATGCTGGTAAACCAGTCTCCTGTTGGAGGCAGTTTCAGGATTTCTAGCTAGAAAACTTGTACAGACAAAAGGGCACCTTTAGTGATCGTAGAGGAAAATAGTAACGACTAGAAGTAATTTTGGTTTTACCACAAGTTTTCACTCTTAGAATGACTCCGTAATAAATGTTACCAAATAATTACAAGGTTAATATAAAAAAACTACTCGGAGACAAGTAATTTGATTACTTGTAATTAATGACGTACAAGTCTGGCTGGGATTTTTGGCGTTCTTCAAACTCAACATGGGCACCACGAGGCGCTCAACAAACGTTAGACTGTATATGCAAAAACAAAACAAGAAAAAAATCAATTCAGATAAAATGCACAAATTTAACAATTCAATGTTTTCAGATCTCTAACCGCAGCAGAAAGCACGCGCAAATGGACTTGCTTAAAAGCTTTGTGTATTTAGTGATATGCGGAATATGTTTCACTGTGTTACAGTTTGTTGGATAAAGTCATTTGAAATATGCTCCTTTTTGAATAGCACTGGAATAAATATAACTTTCGGTGAAATTTATCTGAGCTTTATCTGTGAAACAAACCTGGCTGACTTAGTAAGCGATTAGTCTAAGTTTCTTAATTATTTCCTTGGCTTCAGAAGTAATAACCAATATAGTAGAGGTTGGGCAAGTGTTGCTAGATACTGGAATAAATATGGTTCGTGGCTATCTGGCGCTATACTATAAGAACATGAACAAACGTATCGATGCGAAGAATATGTTCTACTTCAATGAAAACTTTCAAGCGCTTACTGGAGAAGTAATGAGATATATTAGTCGTGCTTAACAAGACACTGAATTGAATTCTGTGTTCGTCATTTCACGACAGAAACTCAATCTGCATGCTCTAAGTATCATAAAAAGTGCATGGATCATGGGTGGCCTTTTTATTACAAAAAATGTTATCAAACTTGTCAACACGGTTTTCTTATGAGATATAGATTAAAATTAACCTTGATCGCATTTTCTGGGGCTTTTAGTTGGGCTGGGCACTTGATCGATTAACCTACCGATTAATCAATTACTACTTTAATCATGATTAATTTTTTTAAACAGCTGTACAGGTATATGAAGGCGAATTTTAGGTGGAATTTTTGACTAAAAGAAATGTAGGGGCGAGATTTGTAACTCTAAACAAGTGAAGAAAGTTGTATTTGTCCCCGCCTCTTCAACGTCGTGCGAGGGTCCGTTTAGCTCAATAGAGATTACTGTGAACGATCAAAGTACTCTGCTATTGCCGCACAATATCAACGAGCCTGTTCGCCTCTGCAGCTGAAATAATAACTCGTAAGTAAGGTTTTTTTTGTTTTTTTTACTGTTATCAACTACACTTTAAGGTCGATATAAAATCTGAGATTGTACATTGCGGCGCTTGTCACATATTCAGCGAAGGCAAATAAAGTAATTTTGAAGTTTTAAAACTAATATGCATGGAGATTAACGAAACCGATTCATTGATTAAATAATCGATTAAGGTGTGGTGAATAATCCGGTTACATCTTTCAATCAACGCCCAGACCTTTTTGTAGGGTGCTAATGTCGCGCAGTTTCAATAATGGTAATAAAAAAAAGATGCCTAAATTTACATTTGTTTACCACTATGTTTCCGGTTATATGTATTTGTCACACCACTCTGCCGGCTATGCAAGGTAGGAATCCTCCCCTCGCGCAGTGTTTTTCTCACTTCCCAATGCCATGATTACATGGTTTTGCTTGCAGGCTTGCTAGTGTAAACAAACCGGAAGAGACAAGGTGGAGAAACAAATCGAGCGTACAAGCAACAAAAATCAGCATGGGCCGTTATGGCTAGGCGAACCGCTCGGCTCTCGAGCGTATACAAGCAGCCATGGTTTAACTGACTCCGCGAGTCTGGACGCCGTTGTCCTGCTTCTTTCGGGCAAGACGCCTCTCCAGACTTTCCTGTAACCTAAATCGAGCTCTTTTCGTCTGTAATCTTTCTTTGTTCCTTCTTCTACTTCTTGTTTATCTCGTTTTCCTCTTTCTGGAGTCAGCCTGAGCCTTTTCTCACGCCCATTCCTCCTCTCGCCGGTCTTATTTGCGCAGCCTTTCGATGGTATTTGAGCAGAGTGAGTGAGTCAGTCGGCCACGCGTCCCGCGAGATGAAAGTAGCAGTATCGTAGTGGCTGCCGTATGGTCGCACTTTTAAGCGTGCTCTTCAGTGGAGTCACAGGCTTGCAGGTGAGTTACGAGTTCTTCATTCTTTTGGATAAAGATAAAGGTGTCTACTGCAAACACGAATGTAATCATGCGTGAACTCTTCGCCAACCGAAATTGACGTGAATGCAATGCCCTCATAAATAAAGCGAGTAAATAGGTGCACCAAAGATTTGGTTGCTCTCTATCAATGGCTGGTTATTTAGTAGTGATATTCTTATTGAACACAACTGTGATGCGACTGTAATTTGTTTCAACCCGGTAGTTTCTTAACTACAGTGTATTTAAAAATGTCTGTCAGCGTGATTGATTCGGATTCAGTATACTTTTGTTTTGTCAACAGTATGTCTTAACAACAAATTTGCGCTTCGTTAGACATGTGGGTATATTGACACTTTGCATATAAGTATACAGGCTATTTGATAATCAAATATTCTAAACAAACATTCATATGGCATTAGGTATAATAATTCTGGTAAAATCGACAGATAAATATGTAAGCAAGTGAGAAGCAGCTGGAAAGTTAAATAACTCAGGAAACCTTCGAACACCATTCTGCTTGAAAAAAAAAAACACATATTAATCAATTTAGCTTACTGAAACCTAATATATCGCCATTCATTTTAAATCAACTAGCAGATGAATTCTATAAATAGTTTGGAGGCATCACTGCTGTCTCTGAAAGTTCCGTTCACCACAATTTTACGTCGACCAATCGAAATCCAGATATTTTATAATATAATTTCAAGTATGCTGCAAAAAAAATATATATATTAAAATGGTAATTAAAATCCACATATCAATGTACAGTAACCGTGGTGCTGTAACACAATCTCATCAGTGTGTTTTGGCGCTCACCTTGTAGATTTAGGAACATTTCGTATGACAGAGTCTTGGTGCCTTCTAAGCAGTGTAATTTCACACTAACCTGGCGACGACTTACTCTTGTTTCCTGTTTTTAACGTAGCCAGAATGTCCGACTTTGACGATTCGCGCATCAAATTGGTGGGGACGTGTAGAAAAATGTCACACAAAGAAGACAATAGCTTTTAACAAAACAGAGATACTCCTAAAATATACAGACACCGTCAAAAACAAAATGTATTACATAGCAAACTTATAAAAGAAAACAAAACTATTGCTAGCTATTTATGGGAGATGGGGTTACTAGATGAAGACATTTTGTACCGGAATTAATACTACCGCATTATTACGTTTTATATTTGTGTCCTATAATTAGGGTTTCGTGTTTTCGGAGTTCATTTTTCTTCAGATTGAGAGGCTGTTTTTTAAAGTTTATTTTTTGCCAAAGATTCGGAGTTTATCGAAGTTTATATTTGTTAAATTCCCGATTCTCCGAAATTCAGAGTTCGATTTCGCAGTGTTTCTTATTAAAAATAATATATAAATAATATTTGGATGTCGACGAACGCCAGAGAAAAAATAAAACGCGATTGTATAAATTAAACTTTATTCAGCTGGATTTGGCGTTGGTGCCATTGCCATTGGCTCTAATAATTTGTCCCAGGATAAAAGTCGCACCTAAGTGTTGCTTCGATAAGCGTCGATACCTTAAAATAATTAAATTCCCAGAGGTAGTCGGTAGGAAGCTCGTAGCCATCCCATCCTCTACCATCAATGTAGCCCGCGGCCGCCGAGGGTGGAGTGGTTAAGTATGTAATAGAGAAGTTTCAACTGCCCCTCTTCCCCATTTTATTTATATCAGCTCTATGGTCTATAGTATTCAGGGTTCCCAAAAGCATACCCTCTCCTTTCTCTAAATCACAAATCGCATGGCCCAATCACGAAACCAAAGGAGTGGCTTTCGTCGTGACCCGAATGTACAATGTCCTGTTGCCCTAAATCAACCTTGACCCCTTTTGACAACGGTCCGAGATTGAAAGATAATTATGGTGGCATTTTCCTGAAACCATTCATCCTGCGTTGCTGAAATTGTAAAAAAAAAAAAAAAGTGTTTTACTTTTTTTTTGTTTTTTGCTAAAAGGGGGGGGGAAGGGTGGCATTGGCACATAAAAATTTGGAGTTTATCGGATAAATCGGAATTTTCCAAGAGATTACCAGAGGTTGTTTTTCGTAGTTTTTCGGATTTATCCGAAAACACCGGACTATACCTATTATATACCGCTTACATGCGAACATCGAATACGGCTCTTACATTGGGAAAGTTCAGATTATTGAAATAATAAGTTTGATGTTTCATATGATTTCCTAAGTTTGCCAGATTGCCGTTAAACTACAATTCTGAAACTAGTTCTTAACACTGATTCCGACAAGAAGTTTTAACACCTTCGATTTTTTTCACACCGACTATGATTTTTTGTTTTGTTGGTTTCAGATAGGCCTCTTATAAAGGACTCGCCATTTAAAGAAGAAAAATTATGGGCGACTCCATGGTTATGCCCGTTTACGAAGTAATCTCGGGCCTTCGGTTGGCGAATTTCTACCCACCCTATGCTGTGAAATCGGGACTGGAGTACCAGCCTAAAGAAAGTGACGTGTTCTTGGTGACCTACCCTCAGTGCGGAACCCTGTGGATGCAGCAAGTACTCTACCTCCTCTACCACAACGGTTCTTCGCCGAAAGACGCCATCGCCTTGTTTCAAAGCAACCCCCTCCTCGAGCTCGAAGGATCGGAAACCATCGAGGCCATGCTCCACCCGGGAACCATCACTTCCCATCTCTCCTACGACTACATACCCAAGTCTTCAGAGGCCAAGTACGTCGTGCTTGTCAGGGACCCGAGGGACGTGTGCGCCACCATGTTCCGACGCTTGCAGTCCTTCCCGGCCTACGCCTTCTCCAACGGCATTCTCTCGGACTTCGTCGACCAGTTCTGCAAGGACGATGTCGACTACCAGGGCTACTTTAGTCACGTGCGTTCCTGGTACGACCACAAGAACGACTCCAATGTGTTTTGGGTCACCTACGAAGAGATGGCTAAGAATTTTACGGAGGTAGTAACACGACTAGCTAAGTTCCTCGGTGAGGACAAGAGAATCATCAAGAATAAGGGTCTTGTGAAAAAGGTTCAAGAGAAGAGCACCGTTTCCTACATGAAGTCGAAGACGAATAAGTACATGGAAGAGTTTTTCTACATTCCGTTCGAGAAGCTGGCAGGAGACATGAGGCTCTCGGAAGGTGTCAAGTCGTTCCACGCCTCCGTGCAGTGCTCTGGTTTTCTGGAGGCGATGAACAGCGTTAGGTGCGTGACGCAAGGTAAGGCTGGCGTCTGGAAGAGTATTCTAAGTCAGGAGGATGCCAAAAAGATTACAGACCGGACCGAACTGCTAGGCCCGGAAGTGGTGAATGCAATCTGTAATAGTTAAAAATGACGTTCACGAACAAACATGTCCAAGAAAACCATAGCAAAACTAGTTATTCAACTGGGTCACTGTACGCGGAGAAACAAATCTGCATGCTACTGATTTGGTGGAATTCATTACAACGACCCTTCAAAACAAACTTTAGTTTTCTTCAATTACGTGCTCTCGACATAAGGTACATGTCCCTTCATCCCGGCAGACCATAACAAACATATACAAACGATTCAACACATATTTAGGACCCCATTGTGGCTTTCAAGAAACTTTCACAATTTCAGAAAGTCAGGCTTCTTTCCGGCATCACGCGACTTTTCATAAAAAAGCCCGTTCTCAATCACTTCGGTATTAAAGAAGGCCTTCTTTGCGTCCACTCGCTGAACCGCTTGGTGGGGCAGACGAAAAATTGAAACAGGTTTTTCGAGACGCAATGTCTGGTAGCCTGGATAAAATATTCTGTCCTAGAATATTTTATTAATTATTTAGAAAAGACCAACTATTTTATAATCGCACCACAAAATTCGGTATTCAAGTTCTTAATGTGTTAAAGTGACTGAAGAGCTACCCCAATTGCAATTGGATGATTTCTTCAAGATGTTGCGATGTAACCCTTTAAATCAATGATGTCCTGCCCCAGGTGGGCAGCACATCATTGGGCACTGAGGAATTGCGGTCTAGCAAACATCTCGGTCCAGATTTTGGTTATTAACTCATTAATAGTTTTATGAATGAATTAAATAAAAATTAAGCTGGAATTTAGGAACACTACATGAGTGGAGACTATATTTCGTACTAACACAAACCATAAGCAGCAAAACAAACAGGTGGTTGTCAGCTTAGAATGCTGGTAGTTTGAAAAAAAAAAAAAAAAAACAGAAAAAGGCAAATAAAAATAAATTGCACTGTTGTGAATCAAAGGCTATCAGAGGGATCCGTTAGTGAAAATTAAAAATTAGAGCATTTCGAAGCATGCCACAGTCACCTATGACGACTATGTCAGAAGAGGGCAGGTCTTTCCAGTCAATGATGGACGGCGGAAGAAAAAGATCGGTTGAAATAATTTCTGCGATCAATGATCTGAGATAAGGAGTGATAAGAGGTAAGTTATGAAGTTAAAGGTGGCAATCTTAAATGTTTTAAACTAGTTATAAAATTACTAAACTTATCGACAAATTCGGTCAAACGATGAGACCTCGAAAAAACACGTCCAGAGAGCGTTTTAAGCTGACCAGTGCAATTCTCTTTGTAGCCCTTACAGGAGCGTGATCTGAAGGCTGGGGAGGCTTCATATGCAGTTTTTGGTTGGCGAAGAAGGCGGAGAGTGCCCAGTGAAGACTGGATTTCAGACAAAGCTGTCTAAGAAGGACTTCCTGGCTTAGGACACCCGTCGCTATCCGGAGAGCAAGTCACCTGTTTCTTGAGACGTCAGAAACGCCGAGCTCTGGTTGGCTCTTATGGAAAGGTACTGGTTACACCTCAAAGCAAGCTGCCTTCAGGTCTACCCACTATCCTCCCTTCAGAACCAATCAGAGCTTGGCGTTCTGACGTCACCTCAACCCGTGCAACAGAAGCGGACGAACTTGCGCTGTGCATTCTGACACCCCAAAGGCTCAGTTATACTCCGGCGTTGAGCCGAGCAAATCTGGCGTAGCGCAGTGCACAGAGGTGCTCATTGGTAACAGATATCTAGTTCCTGCTAGACGGACTATGAAAGGCGCGCGCTCTGCGCCACGCTGCGGTCGCTACGCTTAACGTCGGTGGATAACCGAGTCTTAAGAAACGAAAGACGTGGCCTAGCCATTACCGTTATTCGGCGTTCTTATCGGTCAATGGCGCAATCTTCTTGCCTGGAAAGCGTTGATAAGGTTCCAGGGATTCGACATGCCCCGCGTTCCTTAGATCGTCAGTGAGTGTACAGACCTTCACGAAAATCGCTACTGCGCGTTGCCATCTTTGGTCTGCAGGGCTGTGGAACGCCTTCTGAGCACGCTCTATTCATCTTCTGTGCGGTATACCGGACGCTGCGCATGCGCTCAAAGCTCATTGACTCGGTATTTTTCGCCTGGACGATAAGCGATAAAAAGGCCTACAGGCCTAGAATCATCAAAGCCTCGGCATCGCCTCCTGTTCTTTCATGAAACGTAATCACAGTCGCACCGCACTAACTCGGCTACAGGGCCCGAGTCAGACCTCCGACGCGCTAACTAAACACGAGCCCCGGCCAAACACTGACGCAGCATGATTATAATGCAAGTAAATGCAAAGGTGCAAGCGAACTGGACAAGAATGACGAAAACAATCCCTGGAGAAGGGGATCAAGAGGGACAAACTACAAACACGAATCTCCAAACACAGCTATGTGACTGGTGCGCGACCGTGTCCTTTGTCCTTCTTGTTCCCCTTCTCCAGGGATTATTTTCGTCACTGACGCAGCACTCGTGCCCAATCTGAAGCCTCGATCGATCTAAATGTGATGACGGTGCGGTCACGTTGCGGACGCTTTCTGCTCACCTAGGTATACTGTTGGTCCAAACTCGTGAAACACAAAAATTGGAGCCAAAAGTTCGCTGAGCGCGCCGATTAGACCCTGGCAAAGAAAAAACAACAACAAAAAAAACACGAAGTCATCGTCGCTATAATCCTATCGGTGCGGTCCATGAACTTCGGCAGCAACTTTGTGTTTGACGAGTTCTGTGCCCCAGGTGTGTGGGCTCTGCGCGTGCGCACAAAGCAAACTCGAGTGAAGTGGTGAAGCATCTGAGCATGCGCCGCGTCGACAGCAGCGCCACCGCCACGGAGTGACGTCATATCCGCCTGTGGGTCTATAAAAAAGAAACGTACTTTCTAGTACACCAACGCAGATATTGTGCCCTTTACTCCGTCCGACCGTTTGCCGCCGCCGCTGGGATCCGATGGAGCCCATAAAGCCGTTCCAAAAATGCCTCGTCAGGAAAGTCGTGTTCTTTGTGCGTCTGCTACTTGCGGCTGAACTGATCACGCACTATGAATGCACCGTAATCCTGCGTTTTTTTTTTGTTTTTTTTTTGTGCGTGATTGGTTTGGCCGGCGATGACGAGCGCTCACGAACGGCACGCCAAAACAACGCGTTTTTTTCTTGCGCTGTTTGAATGGTTTTATATCCGAACACAACATCGGCTGCTATCGGACGTGATCTGGAATGCTGTCAAGACTGAAGCGCTTTTGGCCTGGTTGCTCGTTGTTCTTCGCTTGACCAAAGTGTTTGTGACAAGAGGGGGAATTTACACGCGGACACCGTTCTCAACCACCGAACACCCGGCTCACATCCTCTAGAAAGTACCGGTAAGTCTCATAAGCCGCGTTTACATGAATGCGACTTAGTCCCATCGAATCCAGTTTTCGCATTCAATGAGGTCATGAAAACGGCATAATGCGCAAAGAAAGCGAATCGCATTCAAGTCGCCAGACCGAGGTGGATCGAGATGGCGAGTGCGCATTCATTCAGCCCATGTAAATGGAGGTCGCATCGCATTTTGAAACGGGAAGGATTATAGGAAGGCGCTCGCTGCTTGAGCGAGTGAACAGCTGAGAACATGGCGGCGGCCAACCTCGTCGGCGGTGCGAAGAGCGGTTCCGTATGGTCGCCCGCAATTTTTTCCCGAGAACAAACGCGACCTTTTATTGCCATCATAAGTAAGCGGAATATAGCGGAGCTGCTCGGTGAGGACGGCCCCTGTCCAAGCCTTGCGAAGTACGACTTGCGCGTCCGAAGGGGTCCCAAAGGCTTCGGCGCAAGCACGAACGACACCGAGAGCTCGGGGCACTGTAGATAACTGCATGGTAGCGCAGAACGAGCAGCTCCGACCTCGGTGCCGTTCCTGGCTGCGCAAGTGGCTTTCGGACTCGGGGTCCGGTTGGCCCGCTCGCGATATGCGAGGTCTGGCGCGGCGAAGAGCGGAGGCGTCCTCAAAGAGTGCGCACACATATCGCCGGTGGTCCAGAGTGGCCCGGCGGCCCGGCCTGGAGCCCTAAACGCTTGGGTTTCGATGTTTCTTCCATCTCGTAATTTCTTCCACACCACCGCAGACAGCGGGCACGATCTTTACGTTCACTGAACGCGTCGAAAGGCCTCCACGTGCGATGCACCGAAAAACATGGTGCGGCTGGTGCCGGAACTGCATAACTTCGAGCTTTGACACAGCGGAGTGCCACCTTCATGTAGGGCTTGGTGCGCATTCAAGTAAACGTTGCCGCGTCGGCTTCGTTCGACGAACGAGTGAAGTCGATGCGCTGAAGTCGCTTTCATGTAAACGAGGTTATAACTGCGATGGGGACCCCCACTGTGAAGGCAAGTATAAACGAACAGGTAAGAGAAAAAAACGTGCGTGTATCTTCTGAAGAAATCTAAACCTACAACAATTATATGGAGGTCTAATAAAATTGTCAGTCACCCATATCTCCATGCTCTACAATGCGTGCAGTGCAGCATGTAAGAAGCGAGCGTATCAACTTGTTTAGAATTAATTAAAGATTCGTCCCGAGAGTGAAGGACATTTATATATATATAAGGACTTTTCCCGCTAAATTTGTCGAGAAGTTTGAATTGGTGTATAAGTCAAGTGGCGTGATTTTCCCCCATAATTTAGCCGGTAAACTGAGCTAAAAGTTAAGTTCGAGTGTCGTGGTCGCAATTTCTACATTAAATTTATCCAGATATTTAATTTCTGTCAAACTCACGTTAACGGCGGTCACCTGATGCCAATTTTCACCTGAGTTTAGCGAGAAACAGCGCGGACGGGCGCAAAAAGTTTAAGGATTAGGTTCTCCGTTGAAAAAGCATTCTATGCTTTAATAAATATATATGTATCAAACAATAGATAGCATTATAACATGTATACATCGGCGTTGTACCCATGGTCATTTGCGTTATCATATTTTTTCCAGCGAGCTGAAGAGCTTTTCGAAAAAAATGAGTTAATGGTCGATTCTGACGTGTTTGTAGCTGCTGAATCCAAACATTACGACCTTTTGACCCAAAACAGTCACTGAACGCGAAAAAAAGCGAAGGAAACCGAAGCGATTTCCGCAACGGCCCGCCATTGGCTAGTCATGCGTCACGCGCTTTTACGTCTAAAGCGGTGTCCAAACAGGACA